GCCTGGGGAGGGACAGCCCTGGAGGGTCATCAGGGCTGGGGCTGAGGTGCCCAGGGTGCAGGAGGGTGGTCCTGGGGTGCCCTCTGGGAAGGGGGCAGCCCTGGGGGTGCCTTTCTAGGATGCCCTGTTTGGGGGTTGACTGCCCCTGGGGTGGTGAGGTGGGGCCTGGGGTGACCCGTGCTGAGGGGACCGCCCTGGGGATTAGTGGGGTGGAAGGAGGTGTGCTGGGACCCCTGGGCAGCAGCAGCCTGGGCTGGAGGGGAGGGGGAAGTCCAACATCCTTGTCCTGCCTGTGTGCTGTCGGGGGCCAGGGCTGGCTGTGCTCCCAGTGTGGGCTGCCCAGGTGGTCCCAGCCCTGTGCCCGGCAGTTAGTGGTGGGCTTGTGGTCCCTTGACTTCCCTGTGCAGTGGTGTAGGGCTGCAGGGTGTCCCTGCATCACCCTGCTGTGACACATTAGGAGTGGCATCAGGTTAGGGGCAAGAGGTGGATGTTTAGTTATAGTGGAAACAAGACCTAGAGTTAGGTGTGGGCTTTCCTGGGAGCCTGGGGATTTACCCAGGACTTGCCTGTGGCTGGGGAGCTACCCCCTGCCACAGCAGCTGGCAGCTGTCTCTGTGGGTGACCTTGCTCTGCATCGCTGGGCACAGGGCCCTTCACGTGCTGGGGACTGCTCCTGGCGCACGGAGACCGAGCGGGTTAGGTGGCTCCGTGGTGCTCGCTGCAGTGGGTCTTTACTCCCCAAGCGCTGCGTTTGCAAGGTTGTTTCCTCACAGCAGCAGTGTTGCTGGGTCTCTGCAGCAAGCATAGGCAGCGCTGCCTGACCCCAGCGTGGGCAGTGCCAGCTCTGCCCTGTAACCTTCCTGGCACGTGGTCGGGGTAAGATAGCCAGGCTGAGTAAGGGCCCCGTGGGGGTGTGAAGAGGCACCAGGTCTGTATGAATTATTAGCAGGCACTTGGCTCAAACTGTGTTGTGGAGTCAAAAGGCAATGAAATGCTGAGGCTGGTGGGGACTCCTGTATCTGTCCTGCTTGGTGTCATGGTTTGTTCCTGAGGGGACAGTGACCTGGAGAAAGGGTCCTTGGAGCTGTGGCAAGGACCAGGGGTCTGCCCTGTCCTAGTCTTCCTGGCAGGGCTGACCTGATGATGTCTCAAGCAGGGGATGGGTCAGTTAGTGTGAAGAAACATCTATCTACAGTTAGAGATAAGGACCTTTGATGCTTCCTCCTGGCAATGGTACAGTAATGCTAGAGTGCCGACTTCTTTGGAAGGGGACGAGGACATTTGTATTGTGGATGCTGTTATCTTGATACAGAATTTATCTCGGCTAACCACTTCATGTAACTGAACTATAGTCAAGGTCTGATAAGGCAGCTGATTCCTCAGCATTTTGCTTCATTTGGGCTTTTAAACTTTGAGTGAGTCAGGGAAGGTGCCCTTTTGGGTGTTAAGGGGAGACAACTTCACCCCCAGCTGCAGTGCTAGATCTTTGCCCTAGATTTAGGGAAGTGGCTGAAGCTGTACCCGCTTTCCCAGCACAAGCTGTGGGCTGGTCCAGCTGGGTGCTCTCTAGTGTGAATGAAAGGGGAAGTCCTGAATCACTTCTTGAAATGAGATTGAGGCAGCCCCTGGTTCACTCAGCTCCCTGCTGCAGAAGGGACTGACCAGTGGCCCGAGATCCTAGTGCTATGAGCTCTGCTCTGGCCCTCTAGTCCTGCCCCGCTTCAGGGGGTGGGATGGAGGCTGTGGAGACAGTCGAGCTCTGAAGGCTGCGGTTCCCTGGCCAAGTTGTGGGCTGTTTGTGGAAAGTGGGTGTTACCCCACTGTCTCCTTTGTCTGACCGCGGTGTGTCCACGCGGGGAGTGGGACCAGTAAACCATTGGTCTGAGCTAGCTCTGCCAGTCCTGCTCTCTCTGCTTGGTCACACTGTGGCTAAATCCTCTGCGTGGGAGCAGAGTGGCCCATCTGGCAGCAACCCATGCTCAGATCGGAGGAAATGTTGTGAAACCACAGCCTCAGAGGAGTTACCGCGAGTTGCTATCAACAGCATCTTCCCTCCACAGTGATGGTCTGGCTGACTGCAGAGCTGCTGGGTACTGGTGTGCTGGAGATGCCACGGCCTGCCGTGGGACATTTGTCTTGAGCACCTCACCCCACAAGCTGGCTTGGTCTCAGGCTTTTGGGGTGGATCTGTGAACACAGGGTGGGAATAATAAACGTTTTTTTGAGCCCCATATGAGTTGTGTAGCTGAACAAGTCTGGCTGTGCTGTCCGAAACTCCTGCCTGCAGCATCTGTGATGTGCTCACCCACTTGCAGCCTGATGCTCCAATGACCCTTCCCTGGAAGGCTTGGTTGCTTCAGGTATGCAATACTGTAAGAGGAGAGCTTGGACCTCTGCCACTTGCCCTTGGGGTGTGATGTGGTGGGGCAGGGACAGGCAGGGATGTCTTCTGGGGTGCTCCAGGAGTCCTGTGCAGGATTTTGGTATCACCTTATAGGAGGTTGACTTTGCCCTGGTAGTTGGTTTAGTGGCCTGGGGGCTCTCCTGGGCCTCTGCTATGGTGGATGAGTAGTGAAGTAGAGAGCAGGAGGGGAGGTAGTGACTTCCGCTGCTCTCAGGGGCTGTGTTTGAAATTCAGGAACTCTAGTCCTGCAAGCCTTGAGTGGAAAGAGAGAACTGGGCCCTTGGCAGCTGCTTCCTGCCAGCCAAGGACTTAGACCTCTGGCTCTGCCAGGGAAAGCAGATGCCCCACATTACCCTTCTGGTTCACTGTGAAGCTGCATTAGTTTGGGCAGACCCTAGGGACGTGCAAACGCTAGGCTGCAGCAGAGCTGGGCTGAGGCTCTGATGCAGCTGGCAGCTTACAGCCCCATGCCTGGAGGAGCCCAGCTCTGTAAGGGTCGCCTGTATGGAGAATGCCCCTGTAGCAGAGTCCCTTCCTGCCCCCCCGCCCCAACCACTCATCATGGCAGAGCAGGAAGCCACATGTATGAAGACTTCATGGGGAGGAATGGCAGAGTTGCCTCCTGCAGGTAATGCCTGTGAGCCAGGCAAGAAAGGGTGATGTGGGCCTGGCTGCCCTGTTCCTGGGGTTGCAAGGGGCTGGGAGGGAGGAAGAACTGATGCGAACCTCCTGTGTGTGTGTGTGTTAGCAATGACTCTTGGCTCATGTGTGAATGCTGGGACTGCAAGGGCAGATATGGAGGTTGCAGCAGCTCCAGGCTCAGGAACCACAGCTCCTGCCCCACTGCTCTCAGGGGACATGGGCAAGTCCTTCACAGCCCTTGGGGGATTCTGTGGAGCCCTCAGACTGGGAGGAGGTAGAGCTTAGCTGATCCTCCAAACTGGGCCCAGTTTAAAATCAGCATGAGCCCTTTAACATGGAACAGATGTATGAATTCTGATCTGAGGCTTCAGACCTTCTTGGACCCTTCTTGTCCCTGGAGGATAGCTGCCCAGCTTGGCTCACCTGGGGCAGAAACACTGATGTGCGTCCAAGTGCCCTGTCCTCCAGGGAGCATCCAGAAATGGATGTGAGCTGGCACAGGGCAGCATCCAGGGCCTTGCTGGGACCAGAGTCAGTGTCTGAGCACAGCTGGGATCGCTGGCTGCCCTTGCTGGCCTGAGGCAGGAGTAGAGCCATCCTGGTAATACCCTGGGGGCAGCTGGGCCCAGCATCCTTCTGGAGCAGAGTAGGCTGCTCTGTTCTGGCCCCACAGCAGCTGGGGGAGGTCATGTGCTTCCCCAGCTTCTTCCTTGGGTAGAAGTGATGGGGAGGAATTTGCCACTTGGGGTGGTGAAGGGGGAAATCCTTCATGAGAAGGAGGATCACGCAACCTTCAGCGGAGAGGGGACTTCAGGGGACCTCACAAAGTGGCTGCATGTTCCCCCTTGGCCGTGGGAACTGGTTCCTGTGGCTCTGTTTTACTGCCTGGTAGATGCCACAAACCTTGGCAGAGCGGGGGAGCACAGTACAGCAATGTCCAGGGCACACAGCCATCTCTGCTTCAGCTCCTGGGCCTTGAGAGCGGTGAAGCGTCTCAATGGATTTGATGCATAACCTTGAGAAAGGGGAGGGAGTAGCAAGCATGTTCCTGCCTGCTCCACACAGGTGTCCCCATCCTGTGCGAAGGGGATGCTGTCATGCTGTGATGGAAGAAGCAGCTGAGTTTGGTTTCACTGACTCAGCTGGGAACTTCCCGTTGTTACTAAAGCCCAGCATGGTGGAGCAGCATCGGATGCTGGCCTGGGACCTGCAAGCAGGAGCAGATCTGTTCCTGTCCCCCACTGTGCTGGGATGAAGGCCAAGCTGCTGGGGGGAGGGGGGAATGGGTCACAGGCCATGGTTCTGGTGGCAACTTCTGCAAGCATGGAGGGAGTCACGCTGCCTCCACCAGCCCTACAGGAGAAGGGACGAGGAGGCAAATGGAGCCCTGTGCTTGCAGGATAGCCCAGAGCTGTCCTGGTCTGCTGGAGGCCTTATCGCCTGCAGGCAGGCAGAAGGGAGGTGTGTGTCCTTGGGGCTGATTATCTGCAGGCCCAGAGAGGGGGGGAGAAGCCCTTGATTGTGGTGCACTGGGGAGTCCCTGGACCCAATGGGGGAGGGAGGGTCTGTCCCCTGACAGTTTGAGAGGTGGATGGGGTAGGTGCAAGGTGTTTTTGTATTTTTGGGTGTTCTTGACTGGGGAAGGGTCACTGACAAGCTTCAGCTTGTCTCTCTAGCTGCTGGATGCTAAAGGGAAAGGCCTCATCCTGTGTAGGATGAGGCAAGGTGATGGGAGCACTGGGGTTCCCTATGGTTTACCTGGCCTGAGGAAGCGGCCAACCTTCCTCCCCAGCTCTTGGGGGTAGAAGCTGTCTTAGCAGAGGGCTGGCTGTGTCTGCCACTCTCTGATCTCAGGATGGGACTTGTGGGGTGCGTGAGCCAGCTGTGGCCTTTGGGATCCCAGGGATATGGGGCTTACAGCTTCTCACTACTTGTCTCTCCCCTTCTAGGTACCACTTGTGTCCTCCTGTCCTTCCCTTTCATCTTTAACCCCTGCCTGGGTTGTAAGGAGAACACTCCGCAGTGGGCAGCCTTCATCTACTACCTCCCCTTCATCATCATCTTCCAGTTTGGCTGGGCGGCTACACAGATCTCCCACTTGTCCCTCATCCCTGAGCTGGTGACTAATGACCATGAGAAGGTGGAGCTCACAGCCTTCAGGTGAGTGTGGCCAGGCCTGGGGCCTCCCTGAGCTGGGAGGAGTGGCCCTGCTTGCTCCAGGTCCCTTTGTTTGCAGAGAGCTCCTGGGTGCCACAGGTCTGAGTGTCTCCCTGCCCTGGCTGTGACTGAGCCCTGGGCATAGCTGGACAATGGCTGCACCACGTGGGTATCCTGCAGGATGTTGATCTTGTGGGTCCAAGGCCCAAACCCCTTGGTACCAGGCAAGAAGGTCCAAGTGCCAATGATGCTGGTGACAGTCATTAGCATGCTGCGTTGAATGTGACCCTTACCCAGTGCTGTGACCCAGACCCAGGTCTGAAACCCTTCTCATGAAACCAGATGAGGTTTGTAATGAGGTGCTGGTGGGAGAATCGGGGCTGACAGCTCCCTTCCTACCCTGGCTGTAGGGATGTCCTAGGAGATCCTGCTGGGGAAGAGGCCGAGAAGGGTGTTGAACCCTCTGCCCAGCCCTGGAGGGTGCATCCAGGCATGAACTTTGTTCCAGGTTGTACCATGCTGGTGGCTGTACCTGGCCCATGAGCAGGGCAAAAGCAGTGCCCACCTAGCACTTCTCCTTTGGGACTGGAGAGTGATACTCACTGAGGAGAAAACACCTCCTGGACCCCTCAAGGAGAGCTGGGCTGAGGTGCTGCCCTGTGCTTGTTGTCCCATCCATGGGAATGGCCCCTGGGGACAGGCTGGGCAGCTGTGTGCAGCTCTGTGGCAGAGTCTGGCTCTGTGCCGCTTATCTGGCGGGATCGGGCTGTGGGGAGGAGTGTTTATCAGACAGAGCAGGGCCTGGTTATCTACCTTGGTGGGAGGAAATTGCCCTTCCGGCAGGGTGAGTGGGTACAACAGCTCACACCGTGCAGGAAGGATATGGGGCTGGTGCTAGAATAACCCTGAGGCAAGGGCACAGCTGGGCTCTGCTTGGGGGGTTCCAGGTCTTGATGAGCAGTGTGCAGGCTGGGGCAATCTTAGGGCAGAGATGGGCTGTGACTGGGGATGGACAGACTGACCCTAAGGAAGCTTGGTTTCTTTGCAGTCTTGCCTCAAGGCTTGGATGGAGGATGCTGGGAGGCACTTCAGTATGACAAATGCATGGCCAGGGCTGGCCAATCACTGTGTGCCCTGGGAGGTGCAGTGCCATGCAGCGCAAAGCTGGCTGTACCTTGCCTGGAGCTAGCCTTTGTTTGGGGTGTGTGCTATGCCCATCCCTCTGCATCACCCTGACATGCTAACTCCCCCAGGTACGCCTTCACTGTCATGGCCAATATCACTGTGTATGGCCTAGCCTGGCTTGAGCACCTGGGCATCCAGGATGTCCCTGTATTTCGGGTGAGTGGTAGGACTCACTCCCTGGGATCCCTTCTTCCCTGGGCAGGACAGGGCTAAATTCAGGGGGTAGCAGGGAATTTGAAATGCAGGTGCTCTGAGATCTCACCTGTTGCATTGGACAGGGGCAGCATCAAGCTGTCCCTGGGTTTTTAGGAACCCTTTTTTGCCCCCCCCCCAAACTCGGGGAGGGGGGTAAGGTGGTGGGCAGGGGAGGGGCATCCTTTGCTATGCTTACCCCCTCTACCTCACCAGAACCTGTCCCTCATTGTGGTGGGCCTGGGGGCCGTGTTCTCCCTCATCTTCCACCTGGGCACCAAAGAGAAGCCATACCCGCTGGGTGTGCTGCCCCAGCCTGAGGAGAGCACACCCCTGCTGCACAAGGATCCTGCGAGCCCCCCACGTCCACTGCTGCTCTGGAAACATTGGCTGCTGGAGCCTGCTTTCTACCAGGTACAGTGGGGACAGGGACACAGCCACCTGGTGTCTAACTTTGAGCAGTGCCTGTCCTGGGACGCTGTCCTGCCTGAATGCTGGGCCTGGGCTGGGGCATCCTCTGGCCCAGGGATGTCTTCCCTAGTAGGGGTGAAGATGGGGCTGTACCGGGCACCCACCTACCGTGTCAGGTGGCCTGTTCCTGTCTCAGAGGCAGCAGCCTATGTGCCGTGGCAGGGTTGGGCACAGGAGGTGTCAGCCTCTTCCATCTCCAGTTTGCACAAGCTGAGCAGCACTGCCATGTCTTTGCCATCTCTCTTTGCAGGTGGCAGTGCTCTACATGGCCACTCGGCTCATCGTCAATCTGTCCCAGACCTACATTGCCATGTACCTGACTAACTCGCTGCTGCTACCCAAGGTGGGCACAGGGCAGGTTCCTGCCCATGTGCCCAAGTCAGTTGGGCAGGGATCTTGTGCCAAGGGCCTGGAGCTAATTTTCTCCATGTCCTTGTCTCTCCCAGAAATACATTGCCACCATCCCCTTGATGATGTACGTCAGTGGCTTCCTCTCCTCCTTCCTCATGAAGCCTGTGAATAAGTGGATAGGCCGAAATGTGAGTCCTGGAGGGGCAGGGTACAACCATCTGCTCCTGAGCAGCAGGGGTAGAGAAGAAAGGCCAGATCTTGAACCCACAAGTGTCCTGGGAGCAGAGTGATCAGCACACCTGAACCTGACTGCAGAGCAGGGACCCTGCACATAACTTTCTGCCCTGGCTGCCAAGCAGCCTCCTGCCACAGTGTGGTCCCACAGGGCACTGAGGCCATGCAGGTGGTGAGCTGGGTGAGGGAGCATGGACTATCCTGCACCCCTCCAAGTGTGCTGAGGTCAGGGAAAGCAATGCTGGCCTACAGTTGGTCTGTGCTGCTTGGCCCTGGCAGGTCTGGAAGAGGACAGAGATGCCCACAAGAGACAGGAGGGCTTGGCTGGTACCACCCTGGCTATGTGGGATGTGTGGGTCTCCTGCAGGAGACAGGACAAGGGCTACCCCTCCAATGCATCTCCTTCTGGGAAGGCCCCCTCTCTCCTCCCACCATCTGGGGCTGTCTCTGTGCCCTACATGGGGACCCTACCTACAGCTCCCCCTAGGACCCAGCTCAGGCTACAGCCAAAACCATAAAGCAGCCTGGGTCACTGCAGGGCTCTTGCAATTTGGGGGCTCCTGTCTCAAGACCTGTTAAGGAAATGGTCCTAGCTCTCCCCCCAGTCCTAGGGAACAGTTGGCAACCAAGTTGAAGGACATGCCCACCCACAGCTGCTGCTGTACTGGTGCTGGAGTACTGGGCTGTGGGGTGGGGAAAATAGTCTCTCTGGACCACGCCCCTGTTCTCTTGGGCAGTTGCTGTTTTGGGGATGTTGGCTGGTGCCTCTGGACCTGAGTGTTTTGCACCAGGGCTGACTCTGGTGTTGGCCCCAATGTCCTCCCTGCTCACTTCTGCCTTGCTGAGCATTGGCTGGGCCCAGAGCATGACCAGCCAAGCCTGAGCTCTCTTTTTCTTCCTCTGCCTGTCCCCATGCTGGTGTGGAGCAGCTGACCTACTTCGTGGGCATCCTGGTGATCTTGGCCTTTGCCTCCTGGGTGACCCTGACCAGGCAGATGGGAGTGGAGATCTATGCGGCAGCTATGCTGCTTGGGGCTGGCTCAGCCACCATCCTGGTCACATCCCTCTCCATGACAGCTGACCTTATTGGGACCAACACGGTACGTTTGCACTGTCTGGCTGGGCTGCACCATGGCTGGGGTGTCACAGTGGTGCTAAGGAGACATCTGCAGGGGTACACAGCAGTTGGGGACCTAAGCAGCCCCATCCCTTATGCCCAGCTCCTGCTGCTTGCTGGGCTCTGCTGTAATATGGGCTCTGCCCATGAGAGGGCACAAGGCACTTGCTCTCACTTCCTTCTGGGAGTGTGGCACAGGCTGGGCCCCAGTGCAGTGGGAAATGAGGCTTTCCCTCCCCTTGCAGCACAGTGGTGCGTTCGTCTACGGGGCCATGAGCTTCACAGACAAGATGGCCAATGGACTGGCTGTGATGGCAATCCAAAACCTGCACCCATGCCCGTAAGTATCCCTGTGGAGTGGGAATCCTCCTGGTGACATCTTCAGCCAGATCTGCTGGGGTCAAGGCAACAAATAGCCCTGGTTTGGAGCATGCCTCTACACCCTTAGTGAGAGACACCAGTGGAAACCTGCTCCAATTTGTCTTAAATCCTTCCTTGGTTTCTACTTTGCCAGCAGCTGGGGGATGGGGGATCAAAAAATCCAGGATGCTGCACTCTCTCCTTGCTCTGAACCTGTGCCTCATGCCCATGTGTGAACCAGCCCTGATGCCTGCAGCAGACCCAGCTGAGTGCTTATGAGTTCTACCAGGCAGTGAGAGGGTTTCAGCAGCCCCAGGGTGCTTGGGCAGTGCTAGGCCAAGCTCCGGTCTCTGCCACCAAGCACAGCCCTCCTATCCTCTCCCTGCAGGACCGAGCTCTGCTGTCCTGCCTGCATCAACTTCTACCACTGGGTGATGGTGGTGGTCACTGGGGGGATTGCTATGGCTGCCACAGTGTCTCTGTGCTGCATCATGATCTGGCCCATCCGGGTCCGCTTCCGTGAGTGTGACTGAGGAGCTGGGGGCACTGGGAGGGGACAGGTGTGGGGTTGGGGGTCCTGGGAGTCCCCCAGTCCTCTGCTCGCCTGGGCTAAAGGGAAAGTGTCTTTCCAGATCACCCTGGCTGCAGCAAGGCCCTGGGAGCTTTATCCCAGTGGGAGATGCTGGAGCAAGGCTGGCTGCAGGGAAACTCACAGCCCTGCCTTGTGAGAGCTGGGTGACACTCATGGTAGGCACATAGGCAGGCCCAGCTCCCTACGCTCCTGCTTTTGCTGCTCCTGGCCCCAGAGCTGGCAATGCCCTGGGCTATGCCAGTGCTGGGGGGCTGTGCCTGCTTGCTGTGCCCTCCTGGGGGGCGGCAGGATCTGCCCCTGCCAGCTGTGCAATGGCTGCACTGAGCCCTGCACCCTGTGGGTGGCTGAGGTGTAGTGAGGGAGGTCATGCTAGCTGTTGCTAGTGGTAGCCACACATGAGGAGATGGGAACCGGGTGCCTCTTGCTGTGACTGGGACCTGTCAGGCAAGGATGGGTGCTAGCTTATCAGCTGCATCTCAGCCCTCTGGGTGCCCAGTTCTTGCCCTACTCTAGGGTGGGGGGAAAGCACTGAACCTTCCCCCCCCCCTCATCTGTAGGTATCACAGTAAGTGTTGCACAGTCCCTGTGCTGCCTTGGGCCCCTCGTGTTGGTAGCAGGAGAGCTCTAAGGACTAGGCCAGTATGTGCTGGGTCACCCCAGCAGCTACAACAGCTCCTAACCCATCACTCCTGTTCCCCATAGATGACATCTCCCTGCTGGGACTGAATGGAGGAGGGACCCAGTCAAGTGAGACAGCAAGCACAGAGGGAAGGAGTCGGAGCAACACGGTCAACTGAGCTGGGCGCATGTCCCTGGCTGTGGTGATGTCCATGCTGCTGCCCTCTGCCTGGAGGGACCCTGGAGGGAGGCGATGGCACCAGGACTGGGGAGCTGGGCTCAGGTGGGATCCAGCCACTGCCCTGCCTCTGTCACTTTGCACAGGACTTGCCACCCCACACGTTCCTTGGGGACTTGCTAGAGGGTGTCCCTATGTGTTTGCACAAATGTAACACTAGCAGGCCTGGGGCCAGGCTGTGGGGGTCAGCCCAGCCCTGTGTGACAGGGTGCCTGGCCCTTGGTTTTAACATGCTTTTGTAAGGTCAGTGTCTTTAAATAGCACTTTTTAAAGAAGGAGGGAAGAAGGGGAGGGGAAAAAAAAAACCCCTACAACCTCTAAACTTGAATAAATGCTATTGTTGTCAAAGGAGCCTCTTCCCTGGGCCCCTCCCTGCCCCAGGGCCTCTGCATCTCTCTGGGCAGGTGCCGTGAGGCCCAGCGCTTGCCTGGACGCCTGGTCCCCTGCTTCAGGCCCTGCGCCACGGGGCCAACGCAGCCCTGAGGAACAGGAGCCAGTTGCGTGTTCCCAGCCCGGCTGGACTCGCTGGGGTGGGATGCGGGTGCTGCGCAGGGCAGGGAGTGGTGCCCTGGCACCCCCCCC